GAGAGAGAGAGAGAGAGAGAGCGAAAGAGAGGGATATATATAGAGCGAGAGAGTGAATGAACGAATTCATTAGCGATTGAAGCCAAGTGTCAAGTATAGCATGGTGGTTAGCTTGCTACTCACTGCCACGAGTACGTGGGGTTGAGTGTAGAAACGTGACGCATGGCGATGATGGCGATAATAATGACGATGATGCTAGCAATGTTTCTGACGGGGTTGATATCGTTACCAATAGCAGCGACGAAGCTACTGCTGCTGCTGCTACTGTTGCTACTGCTGCTGCTGCTGCTGCTGCTGTTGCTGCTGCTGCTGGTGATGATTTTGATGATGACGATAGGGTGGTGCTGCTGTTTATCCTGCTGCTGATGATGGCGATGACGGCGACGATGACAATGATGATAATGATAATGATGATGATGTTTATCATGATGGTGATGATGATGATGATGATAACGATGATAATAATAATAATAATAATAATAATAACAATAATAATAATGATGCTTATGGTGTTAACGATGATGATGATTATGCCGTTTCGCTAATGTTACTCATGTTGGCCCTAATGATGACGATGACAGACCATGACGACGTCACTTCACACGGAGCAGAAATAACCGCGCAATGTAGACACGCTGCTGCGAGCTGTTAATTATTGTTAATTATTGTTAATTAGCGTTAATTACTGCTTTCACTGCGGAGTCGGAATGCTCGTGACGATATAGCTGATCCGCCATCGTGCTTACGTCATACGTGACGTCACCCGCGCGTAATAGCATACATGTGCGCCGTAGTGAGACTGAGCGATTACGTGATGAACATCGCGTTCTGCCCTCATTATAATATCAGGAGCCTATCAATATTGATAGACTCCTGATAATATGTGATGCGACGAGGAGAGCGGCTTTGTTCGTGAGATCTGCACATGAAATGAAAACAAGACAAGATCGCCATTGTTGTGCCTACGTCGCCCGCCCCCGTCAGTTCTTCTTTCTCTCCGGTCTCCACCCTGGCAGCGCATAAGTGCCACCTCTACGGAGCGTAACGGCACGACACGGAAGTTACGACAGGAGGCATGTATACACA